TACATGCAAAAAACAAACAAACAAACAAAAAACAAAGAAAAAACAAAACAAAAAAAACTAGAACACCAACTTACACCATACATAAGAATAAATTCAAAATGGGTAAAATATTTAAATGTGACTTAGGAATCCATAAAAGTCCTAGAAGGAAATGTAGGCAACAAATTTCAGACATCACACACAGCACAATTTTCACTGATACAATGCATAAGGCAAGAGAAACAAAGGAAAAAATAAACACATGGGACTACATCAAACTAAAAAGCTTCTGTATAGCAAAAGAAACAACCATCAAAATGGAAAGGGAGCCCACTATTTGGGGGAGCATAATTGCCAATGATATATCAAATAAGGGGTTAATTTCCAAAGCATATAAACTACTCACACAACCCAACAAATGGAAGAAAAAGATCCCAACTAAAAAGTGGGCAGAGAACCTAAAGAAACACCTCTGCAAAGAGGACATACAAATGGCTAAGAGACATGAAGAAATGCTCAACATCACTAATCATCAGAGAGATGCAAATTAAAACAACATTGAGGTATCACCTCACACCTGTCAGAATGGCCGCCATCAACAAATCATCAAACAACAAGTGTTGGCGAGGGTGTGGAGAAAAGGGGACTCTAGTACACTGCTAATGGGAATGCAGACTGGTGCAGCCAGTATGGAAAACAATATGGTGTTTTCTCAAAAAATTAAAAATTGAATTTCCATTTGATCCAGTGATCCCCCTTCTAGGAATATACCCTAAGAAACCTGAAACACCAATCAGAAAAAATATATGTACTCCGATGTTCATAGCAGCACTAATTACAATCACTAAGTTATGGAACCAGCCCTAGTATCCATCAATAGATTAGAGGATAAAAAGGTTGTGGCACATATACACAATGGAATACTATGCAGCTGTAAGGGCAAAAGATCTCTTATCCTTTGGACGACATAGAGAGGCCTGGAAAGCATTATGCTAAGTGAAATAAGCCAATCAGAGAAAGCCAAATACCACATGATCTCACTTATTTGTAGAATATAATGAACAAAATAAATGATGAACAAAATAGACCCAGAGACATAGAAAGAAGTATGGTTCAGACTGGCAAACCTCAGAGGAGGGGGCAGGGAGGATGGATGAAATAAACCAAAGAACTTACATGCATGTATGTGTAACCAATGGACATATACAACAAGCCTGGGGGGATGGGGCGGGATTGGGAGGAGGGTATCTAGGGTAGAAAAGGAGAAATATCTGTAACAAAAATTAATAAAAAGTTGCAAAAACATAATGATAATAATATAAGAATATACTGTTTCACATACTCACAACTATACACCTACTTTTGCCTACCCCTCTGCACGGTTTCTTTGCTATTGGTCAAGAATTACTATGGGTTAGTCCTTTTTCATTATACATCACTATATTTTGCAGTACAAATTTCAGACTTCCTCCCCTAGAATCAACATACCACTATTGATAACATGTAAGAACTTGTCATAGCAAAGCTATATACTCCCTGAGGACAAGAGCTAGCTCTGATGCTGCTCACAATTGTATCACCAGCCATAAAACCTGGTTCATTGTAGCTATTCAATGAATGTCCTATGGGTGACAGAATAAAAAGATGAACTTGGGGAGAATAGGAACCTACAGCCAAAAAGCTGTTCTGTTGACTTTAGCATATCCTAGTTGCTAATGCAGAAACAAAGAGAGGAGAAAAGTTTCTGGAAATATTTTTGGGTGGTAAATGGTGAATGATTAAGAAGCTCAAGTCTGGTTTGGAATTTGGTTGGGACTATACCCATCTAAATTTTAACTACCTATGGCAAAATAAATTGGGTAATATCTCTCTGAATAACAATTATGCTGAAATAATTTGGTTGAGGTTTACTCAGAATATTTAACTAATGACCTATTCCATTAGTATTTTCTGAGCCACCAATAAGCAGAAAAACACTTTTGTTCACTTATTTAAAAGCTCTTTAACATATAAGTTTATTTTCCTGCCTAAGTGAGATATAGTGAAAGTATTGTTATGATTATACATTTTATAGAGTCTCAAGATTCATTGCAACATAAATATATGTTCTATTATGGATGTACTAACAGAAGATTAAGGGGTCTGGGATGAAAGTCACCCTGACTCAGAGTGGACTTATGGTGAAGTAGATGGTAACACATGTGGTTTGATTTGGGAAGGGCTGAGAAGTCTCCTTTTTCCACAAATAACTCCCCTCTGGATTGTTCCAGTTCTCGAAATTCCACCGTTTAGACTCTTTGAATTAAGAAATTATCTATGTTCCAGAGTTTCCTGTGTAAAGGTAAATACTCTTAAGAGAGCTAAGTCCTTATCAACCTGAATGGCATCACTGGATGATGAAAGATCATGTTCACTGGACAGGAACAAGTAAGAGAATGGCTACCTTTTGAAAGGGTGGCAAGGGTTCTAAGCAATGAATACTACCTGAGGGATGCAGACCTGAGTGGGTCACTGAGCTAAAAGATGCATAAGAATCCTGGGTGTTTGGAAAATAAAATGCCAGAAAGCCAGGAAGGGCACTGAAAGGAGAGATCCAAAAATACCATTTCAGATTAACCTAACCTACTTTCCAACCTTGCCTAGGTAGGGTTTCTGTCTGGGCAAGATGTACTCTCTATTTTTAAATTCAGACCTCTCCCTCCAGTGCTGTCAAATTCATTTTGTTATTTTCAGCTCAGCTTCCAGGCTATCAAGATCATTTTGTCATGATTTTGTTAACCCAGCATAGTAGCCATTCTCTCTAGGAACAGGGAATAGATCATCCACAGATTTATTGCATACCTTCCATGTTTTTATCAAAGTCACTGATTCTTAATCTTAGATTCAGGTTGTCTGTAATTTATCTAAAACTGTACATGACACTTTGTGTGTGTACGAATGTCTCTATGGAGAGGAGTCCAGAGTTGTTAGCAGATTTTCAAGGTGATCCATGACCTCAAAAAATGTTTAAAACCACTGATCCAACTATTCAGTATTTTTTAACACAACAGGTCTAATAAGGATGGAGTTCTATAAGACCACCAAGAGTGCCTTCTATCTTGTTTGGCATCAATCCATCATAAATTTTGGGGTGTTGTGATTGGCTATTATATATCAGTTTCTTGTGATTTGTCTTTGTCATAAAAGTGGAAGGGAAAAGTGAACATTCTGGTAGTTGAGATTTTTATACTGCTGGTGTTTAGTTTTTAATCTCTAAATATTAGATCATTCTTAAGGCTATCATTTTGCTTCCTATAACCATTAGACACCATGTATCATAATAGGTTTAGTCTGAATGTAATTATAGATATTTCAAGAACCCATGTGATTAGCTAAAATTAACACACACATCAAAGGAAATACATGAGTTAAAGCTTGCCATCTCTCTCAATGGCACTGAACAAGTGTAATGTGAATTTCAATGTCAATCTACCCTAAAACCTAGAGTCTCAATTAGTGTACAAATAGAATATATATAGAAAGGGCTCCATAGTTTAAGAAAATCCTCTACATGAATATCTGGATATGATAAGTAGATATTCATTACTTATTTAAAAAAGATCCACCTTAGAAGGAAGTCAGACACAAAAACATTCATACTCTATGATCCCATTTATATGAAGGTCAACAAAAGGCAAAGCTATTCTCTAAATGGTGGAAAACAAATCACTGGTTATCTTGGTGCAGGGTGTGAGTGGGGTTGCACAAAAGGGCACAGAAAATGTTTTGGGGTGATGGAAATGCTTTAGATTGTTGTGGTGGTTTTATAGGTGTATACATTTGTCAAAACTCATCAAACCGTACACTTGAAATAGGTGCAGTTTATTGTACATAAAGTAAATGTTAGAAAAATGCTTATAGAAGATTTACCTTAAGATCATTGAAATAAGATTTTATTGATATTATTTAATGAACCTTAAAATAATATCTAAAATCTGATACATTACACAGATGAGAAGGTCTACATATAAATTTCTTCAAGATGGGATATAGGTGAAATATAATCAATGGAAGAGCTTTTTAACAGATGAAGAAGAGGTGATATCAATGCATTTTAGTTACTATTTAACATACAAGAATGATATCTCCATTAATGTGAAGTGCCCCAACAGTAAAACAGATTAAATAATTAGTTCAGATTATCTGAAATTGAACTTAAGTGTTCATTTAGAATAGTTTCCTAAACTGGCCTTTCCAAAGTAGACAGAATGAGACACAGTGATAATACAATAGCTCATTCGAAATTAAATTGTACATCGCCTATGATAGTAACATTTTGTGTTCACTAAAGGAATTATTTGCCTGTACATTACTTTGTATTTGGAATTGTTTGCCTATACAATACTTTGCACTTAAAATTGGGTTATTTAAGAAATTGCTATGTTCAGATTTTCCTTGGGAAATCCAATATGATAAATGAAGCATTAATATTAAGAGTTAGTTTTAAATGCTATGTGCAAATCCATACGGACACTTTACATAGTCTTTTCTGGAATTTCTAAAGATGTTTTTTAATCAATCTGTGAGATGGTGATGGTGAATTCTTTTCTTAGTGGTCAATGCAAAAATAGGAAGCCTTGAACTAATCTTGGAAATAATATTGAATCCAATTAAAGCCACCTTGTCATTTGTGCATGTATAATGTAACAAAGAATAGCTAAAAATACAGAAATAAGATTTTCTGAAACACTACACTTGTTGTTGCAAAAACACTTTGAATTGAATTAGAAATCACTTGCCTTGTCATTAGTTATGCTTATGTGTTAGTAAAATTGTAAGTAACTTTTACCAGTAAGGCAGGAACCTTTGCATTTATTTAGTAGTTATCTTGACCTGTTTATTTTGGATTGATGGTAGGAGCACCTTGTTAGAAGAGGGTTGGTCAGAATGGAGGGAGGTAGTGGGTAATTAGTTAGGTCAACTAATTTCTAAATGCTAGTAATGGGTTCCTTAGTGATAAACACTGTACTTAGGCTGCCAGCCTATGCCTTATTCACTGGTTTTTCCTCATCACACAAGGGCTCAATTACAACCCCAGGTTCTGGCTCTGGATCTGTCTCTGGATCTGGCTCTGGCTCTGGCTCCAGCTCAGGCTCTGTCTCCAGCTCGTTCTCAAGCTCAGGCACCAGGTCAGGCTCAGGTCCTGAGGCAGGCTCCAGGGAAGGCTCAGGCGTGGGGATAGGCCCATGATCTGGCCCGAGGGTGATGTTGGGTTCAGCCACATGGAAGGAAGGTTGCGTCGCTTCTAGTTGAATAACATCTTCAGGTGGCATTGTCTCAAACTCTATACCTCTGTTTATTTTTGTCATTGGTCTGCAAGAAGAAGACCCAGAGAAGACCAAGTTAGGGTTTGACATTTCACGTGGAGCCACAGGCTCTGTAGCTTCAGTGACAATAGGTCCCAGTCTTTTCAGGACCTCTGTGATTTCTGTTATTCTGACTCACTGTTAGACCATGTGTCCCCATTTTGGGTGCAGAAATTTTATGTCTCAACAATATCATGAGAGTTCAAGAGAGAAAAAGCAGTCCTTAGAAGGTGGGAAAACATATCAAGGCGAAAGGATCCATATCTCTAGTAAGGTCTTCAAGAGCCAAATTCATGGCTTGGGTGTATCTCTAGCTCCTACTTCATCTAGCACAATACTTGGCACATGGTTGATGCCCAATAAATAGTTATAGAACATAGAAATGGCGGGATGAACAAATGAACGAGTGTGATATACGTTCAAGAAGAAATAGCAGAGTGCTCAAGAGCATGGGCTGTGGGCATGGTCACATTCTGACTTCTGTGGGCCCTAGGCACTTTTGCTTTTCATGGACCCCTTGTTCCAAAGAATACTGAAAATTATATTTTATGACTGTTGGTAGAAAGACGAGTATACTTATATGATATATTAAACCATTTTCTTAGGCCTAAAGGGTTATTGTGGTTAAATAAGTTGATGTAAAGTGCTTACAACAGTCTGGTAGACAGCACTCAGTAAACAGTACTCATTATGATTCTTTTATAAAAGTAGTGAGAATGTCTGGGCAGTGTGGCTCAGGTGTTGAGCATCGACCTACGCACTAGGAGGTCCCAGGTTTGATTCCCTGGTCAGGGCACATGCCTGGATTGCAGGCTTGATCCCCAGTAGGAGGCATGCAGGAGGCAGCTGATCAATGTTTCCCTCATCACTGATGTTTCTATCTCTCTCTCCCTCTCCCTTCCTCTCTCTGAAATCAATAAAACATATTTAAAAAGTCAACCTTTAGCCCTGGCCAGTTTTGCTCAGTGGTTAGAGTGTCGGCCTGCGGTCCAGAGAGACCCGGGTTCAGTTCCCGCTAATGGCATGTACCTCGGTTTCAGTTTGTCAGCGGCCCTGGTTGGGTCGTGCGGGTGGCAGCCACTCAATGTGTCCCTTTCACATCGATGTTTCTCTCTCTCTCTCTTTCTCTCTCTCCCTCCCACTCTATCTGAACAAAAACTGGAAAAAATGTACTCGGGTGAGGATAAAAAAGAAAAAAAAAGTCAACCTTTAAAAAAAAAAAGTAGTGAGAATGAACAGAAAGCTACCCCTGATATCTTATGCTAAAAGGAGTGATTAGGAAGAGCTGACTGAAAGAGATATGCCAGAGACATGTCTATATTCATATAAAGACAACAAATTAAGGTCTTACTCGAGTTCTGTGGTGGTTTTCGAATTTCTCTTCCTTTCCTTCCCCTTTGCTTTTGACTTGCTCTTTGCGAAGCACACCGCAGAGGTGATAATGGCAGCACCCACTAGGGTACCCAACAAGGACCCAACAATGATTCCAACTTCTGGATCTGGAGGATACAAGCAGCTGGTTAGTAAGGTGAAATATATTGTCTCTGCCTCATAGATGTACTTTTGTGACCAGTGGGGAATATTTGGGGCATTCATAGAGTGGGAAATAGACTTACATAATCTGGGAGCATGGAAACCCCTAGAACTCTGGCAGTTGGATTCAGGGGGAAGAAAGATGGCTGAGTCAACTTTGTAGTTTACCCATTCACATTTACACACATAAAGAAAAAAATATGCCAACTTGGGAGAGGTGGGGTCACTTTCAAAGTGGGGTTTAGAGAAGTGAGTCTTCACTAAGTCTTTGCTTGGGCAGTGAAGGACACACCATGGAGCTGCACTCTGGTGACCAGAGAAATGATCTCTGTTATAGGCAGGGACATTCTACCAGGTTTTCCCAGAGAAGAGATCAAGTAGGTCCCTATAAACATTCTTCACAGTTTCCATGCTCACTATTGAGCCTTATACAGTCTGGCCACTGGAAAGGGATATGCCCATTCCATAAACTGGTTTATTAGATCAGTCTATAAAGAAATTTAACATGTGAAATAATTCAGCTGAGCATGAGGCCAAAAGGTCATGTCTGTGTTCCAGGCGGGCTCATCTCCATCCACCTCTTATTCTTCAGATAAGAATAGACAACTTAGCCCTGGCCAGTTTGGCTCAGCGGTTAGAGTGTTGGCTTGTGGACTAGAGAGTCCCAGGTTCAGTTCCCACTAAGGGCACGTACCTTGGTTGCAGTTTGTCCCCGGCCCTGGATGGGGTTGTGTGGGTGGTGGCCAGTCGATGTGTCTCTCTCACATCAGTGTTTCTCTCTCTCTCTCTTCCCCCCTCTCTCCCTCTTGCTCTATCTGAAGATAGAGGCAAAAGTGTCCTTGGGTGAGGATAAAAAAAATAGACAACTTATATTTTGAGACTAAAGGCTAGTTGAATTGCTGGATTATTCTTTAAATGTTTTATGATTAAAGGAACACATGTGCATAATCTAGAAAGTCAAACAGTTGTTCTAGGCTTCTAACAAAAGAACAAAACAAAAACCACCAGTCCTTAATCTCTGAGTCCCATTACTAGACACAAACTACTTTTAACTCTTTTTTAATCTTCTGAAAGTTGCCCCCATGTTTCTATTATGCTCGTTCTAATATGTCCTGCCTTTTCCAATTCTGGTCCTTTTCTATTGACTTCCTACTCTGGAAGTTGAAGTTTTAACTCTCTTACACCATTTCTCTCACATCATGCCACATTTTCCTTGTATAGTTATAGCACAAGTTGTAGTTAAATCAAGTTTGGAGTATTATGATTATGTAAATCTTGTCCACAGCTGCAGAACATATTATTATTATGATCCTCTCTTGTACAACATTAAAAATTTTTCTGAGGTTAATAATGGCCTCATTCATGGATTTTAAAAAATGTATTATCATTAATCCCCAAAATTTCCAGTAAAACTATTGAACTCCTTTTAATAGATTCAAACACATTGGATAATCTATAGGTTTCTTATGTTGTTGTTTTATTTTCCTCAGAGACATCCTTTCTGGAGTCCTCCATTTTCATCCCCCAGCATGGCCTGGCTGTTTTATTGCTCTATTGTCATATTTCAACCTCCTTTCACCTTTATTCCTATTTTATAGATAAAGAAACAGACTTTGAAAGTTCCTTCAAGATCCAGCTCAAATAGTACTTAATTGGTAAAGCCAGTCCTGTTTCTATAAGCATAATTAATTATTTCTCATTTAATGTCCTATAGACACCTGCAGACCTCTATTATAGCATTTAACACATGTTAGCATTAGTTTATCTCTCTAGCTAAACTGTGAGTTCCTTGATTGTACAACATATACCTTATTAATCTCTGTTTCTCCATTACCTAGGGCAGTCCCTGGCATATAGTAAATATTCAGTGAATATTTGAGGAAAGCAGGGAGAAAGGCAGGAAGGAAGGCAAGAAGGTAGGAAGGTAGGAAGGCAGGAAGGCAAGAAGGAAAAGGCAAATGCCAACATCACTGGAAAGAGGATTTAAAAGGAAGTGTGGCTCAAGTACAAATCCTAGGAGTCTCTACATCTGCAGTATGACTATACCTCTGGAAAGGCAAAACGGGATTCGGGAAGATCCAGAGAAAAACAGCAGAAATGGATCAAGAGACTGGGGAGAAACAGGTAGAATGGGACCACAGAACGGACAGACCAAAAAGTTAAAGTTTCTTCACTTTGACTAAAAATAGTTGAAAGTGATATAAAAATGAAGATGTAGCCTGGAGCTGGAAAATTTTTGGATCAGGACAAAAAGAAAAGGAAGAAAGCTCAGCTTCATAGGAGAGTAATGGAGATGGTCACCTGTGTATTGTATATATTGAAACCGCAGATTCAAAGTAAGTTAGAAAAAAAATGAATAGATCACATGATCCTAAGTATTAAGTAATCTTTGAGAGATGTAGCAAAAAATCTCTTATGGGACCTTGCCCCTGACTGGTCCAATTTGATAACTCTAGGCCCTCAAGTCTGCTTAGTGACCAAGCACCTTTGAACTGGAAGGCTGAAATTTAGAGGCATCCTGGCACTGCTAGTTACTAACTGGATAATCTTGGGCATGCCACTTACTTCCCTGAACTTCAGTTTCCTTTCAGTAAAATGAGGCTAACAATATATTCTGCCTCCTTGATAGGGTAGTTGGAGGATTGAGTGAGGAAATGTTCACAGTACCTGGCTGAGTGTCTGGCACATAATTTGTACTCAACAAATATTAGCTACTGCGACTGTAGATGTGAGTGTTCTTATTACTACTATTATTAGAGGCAGATCTTAACAAATTAGTTAAGAACTGGAAAGTTTGTGGGCTCCTTGTTTGACATAGATTGCTACAGTTTCACCTAGATTTACCAACAGCATAACAAAGAAAATTTAGCCTGGTACTATCAATGAGGCTGTTGTTTTATTTGTTAAATAGTAATTCCTACTTTCTAGAGATTTTGTGACAGTTAAACAAATGTATTTTTATAAACACTTTGGGGTGGTGTGCGGTACACATTAAGTATTATGTTAGCAGTAGATATTAGGATGGCAATTCATCATATTAACCTAGAAAGCACCAAAATCTCCAGAGAAGCAGAAAGGACTAACCAGGAATAATTTATATACTTGATTGGAAGGCCCAGGATACTTGACTTAAGGAGAAACTGTTCAAGTTGTATGGTCAACTCACGTGAAACAGTTAGATCGAGTTCACAGGAGCTATTGCCAAGGATGTTGATTGCAATGCACTGGTAATAACCTTGTTCAAAATTGGTCAGATTTCCAATAACCAAGGTCCCGTTGGCTGGATCTGTCAAAACCAGGAAATAGACTTTGGAAATCTTTTATGTGGGTAGAGATCATGTCAATTAGCAGATCATTCAATCCTGACCCACTTCCTCACATTAGCCTCTCTTTCTTGAGGTTTGCAGGATCCAACTAGACCCCTTGAGACTATTCCAAAGGTAGCCCCACTAAGACCACACCATTCTCTCCATACCCACCACCTCTGAGCCAAAACTAGGCTTGACTTCTAGAAGTTGGGGATAAGACCAGACTACAATCATTTTGTTAGGAGATACATATTATTTTTACACCTCCCTTCCCCCAAAATAGAAGACTGATCTCTAAAGATGAACAGCAGGCCACAGACACATACTGTCAGCCACCACACACATGATACCTTGCCAAGGGCTGCTAAGGACTATACTTACTGACGTTGTTTTCCACTGGTATGATGTCTCTTCCTTCAAGTTTATACCAGTAGTACACAGGGGAAGGTGTTCCAAGCATCGAGTGGCAAGAAAGAGATATAGGTCGACCAGTTTCTGCTATTCCTTGAATGCTGCAAAAGGGCTTAGAAGGTTTGACTGTAAAGCAATGACAACCAGTAAAAATGCTGTTGGAAGAATGGATGTCTGTATCAATTGCAGTTACTTCTTCACATTCATTTTGTGGAAAGTCTGCCTTTTTTTTTTTTTTTACTCTTTATAACTTATTTTGACAGTTTTCTATTTGTACCACCAGGTGGGAGTAGAGCACTTCAGATGCAAGGGGCTTTTACTCACCAGACCATTAAGATTCTAATAGCATCTCTTCCATCTGCCTCCTCCCCAGATCCATAAACAAGAGTTTCCACATTGTGTCTTAAAACATGGCTTTATTAAAGCAACCAAATGTAAGCAAATACTAAATAACTAGGAACATAGTTTATACTCTTGAAGCAGTTTTAAAGGAAAATATAACCCTTAAATATTTTGAGATAACCTGTTTTTTTTTTTTTTAATTGTTATATTAGTGCCATATTTTTCTTTTTCCTTTACCTTTATGAGTCATTTTTGCAATTTATTCTTCAGGGGATGGCACAAAATGGTTACAGGGTTTGAATTTGCCTGCGTATTCATTGGTAGGGGAAGCCCATTTGTTGTGTGTGTCTGTGGTGGGGGGGATGCTACAGCACTGACATCTTTATTCATTTTTCATTCCCAGCACTGGACTAGGCACCAGAAATTCATAACTAATTCTGACACAGTTCTGAAGTGGAGTGGGTGTAGTGGTGAAACAGGAGTGCTTTGTAGTTCATGTATTTTATACTGACAGCAGAGGACCATGGAAGGACTTTAAGTGGAAGAGAGATGATGGTCATTTTAACATTTTACCTTAATCACTCTGACTCTTGGGTGCCTGAACTTAGGGAGAGGAGGAGACAAATTCAAGAGGTACTAACAAGTCAACAGGACTTGATGACCAAGTGGATATGGGGCATGAGGAAGAATTTGGGGTCAGTGATGATTCCCAGGTTTCTGATTTGAACAGCCGGGTATATGAGCTTGCCATTATCCCCTGAGATAAAGAATACAGGAAGAGGAGCAGGTTTTTGGAGAAAGAGTGAGGAGGAGGAAGGGGTGAGGATAAGGTCAGTTTGGGACATACTGAATTTTAACTGCTTATAAAACACCTTAGTGGAGAAGTCCCGTGGGAAACTGAGAATCAGAACCTCTCCACTCATCTTAGAGCTCACAGGTTTTTCTGACATTAGTCTGACAGAAAGATAAGGATCTGAATATCGATACTTTCCAACTCACCTTCAAGATCTTATTTTGGACTTAAAGCCCTCCAAAGACATAAGTTCTCTAACTTAGGCTAGTCAGACCTTAAATGCTCCAGACTTCCCAGCTCTCTGATCTGACTTGAAAAGTAGCAGTTAAGAACAGAGCTCTGGATCCACACAGAATACTGGCTCTACAACTTTACCATAAATGTGTTTAGGCAAGTAACCTAATGTAGCCAAACCTCAGTTGACTCATCTGTAAAATGTGAACAAGAGATTATCTGATCTCTGGCTAATCCAAATATATTGTATTTATATAAATAAAATCATATTTATAGAGACTTGCACATGAAATTGCTGTTGGCCATGGATGGGTAGGACTAATTCCTACTGCCACATTTTATAGCTTGATACTGAAGATAATCTTCCAATCTTAGATTCTAACCCATTGTTCACATGAGCAAGTAAACAGATGGATATAGCTATAGCTCTTTGAAACACTTCACCATCTCTATCTTTTAAACAAGTGTCTTTTAATTAAAAGGAGTATTTTTCTATTTACCTCTTTATTCTCTCTTCCTTTCCACTGATTTTCTCAGATGGGGACAACTCATTGGATATGCCTATCCTAAACAAGACTATTTCACCAGAAGTCCATTGCAACTATCACTAAATCTATATACTGCATTTTTAAAAGTATGACGAATTTATAACCTTACAGAATAGAGCAATTTGAGCAGAAAGTTAAATGGGGTATCTTAACACAGAGTCAGACACTAGGATTGCACTAAATGATGGACAAAAATCTCAATTACCTGCATTCATTTCTTGAGCCCAGAATCAAAGCCAGATAGGCATTTATTTATTTATTTTTTGCCGAACATGTTTTTCTCCTTTTATTTATCTATTCATTTTTAATTTTTAAATTATTTTTAGTTATTTTGGTTACAAATGTTTCTCCTTTTCTCCCATTGACAGCCTCCTCCCGATCCCCCCTACCCATCCCCAGCATTGTTGTCTATGTCCATGATTATGCATCCATGCATAGAAGTTCTGTGGTTTATCTCTTCACTGCCCTCCAACCCCCTCTTCTGAGGTTTGCCAGTCTGTACCCTACCTCTATGTCACTGGGTCTATTTTGTTCATCAGCTTTTTTTTTTTTCATTATATTCCACAAATAAATGAGATTATGTGATATTTGTCTTTCTCTGATTGGCTCCTTTCCCTTAGGATAGTACTCTCCAGGTCCCTCCATGTCGTCAGAAAGAGTATATGTACCCCTACGTTCATAGCAGCACTATTTACAATTGCTAAAATCTGGAAACAGCCCAAGTGTCCATCAGTAGATGAGTGGATAAAAAAGCTGTGGTACATATACACAGTGGAATACTATGTAGCTGTAAGAACGAAAGATCGTTTTATTTATTTTTTATTAATAAAAGACTTAGTGGATCATTTTGCACATCATCCCAAACCTATATATTTTCTAAAACTACTGCATCATGATTGAATTGACACTCTGTCCAGTTAAAGTTCACAGTAGAACTTAGATGTTTACTGCCAAAGCCATTGATCTACCATTTCATTTTATTGCTTTCAACAGATTTAGGCTGGGAGGAAGAGACTCACCTCAGAAAATAAAATAAAATGCTTTAGTGTATTCTCAAACCTTTTCTAAATTTATCGTTTTCTTTTTATATGTCAAATTACATAAGAAAGATGATGCTCATTCCCAATGCATACAAAATAATTATTCAAATTTCTGCTGGGTATTTTTCAGCAATTCATTTTCCAAAGCCGTCATATTTTATGGAAGTCCCCCAAATGAATGGTCATCCAAACCACCTGGGCCTTTGCTCATTGCTGTTTCCTTCACCTAAGTTATGTCCTGCTACCTCAGCCCCTTTTCTACCTTACACACTCTTGCACATCCTTCAACATTCAGAACAAAAGTCACTTTCTCTAGGAAGCCTACAAGTCTCTCAGACAGCTTTTAGCCCTTTCTCCTCTGTCTTTCAGCTCTCCTCTCCTACCTCCACTGTAAGTTTTTAAGTTATATATCTGCCTCCCTCACTAGACTTTGAACTTTTGGAGGGCTCAGACCCTATCTTTCATATCTTTCCATCACCATTACCTAGCACAGTAACTGAACATGTACTCAGGGTTTGTCGAACGAATGTATACATGAATGAATAAATGCATAGGATCAATCAATGTCCACCACTGGGTAATAAAATGTCTCTAAAAGATGCATTGCTAGGAAGAGCAATCTTTAAGGAAATATCAACACTTCTTCTCACCCTTGGCCTGCCCCCACCATGCCCCACCCCTCAGTCAGGGTAAACAGAATAGGCACTCATATACAATGGAATTTAAGAACTGGAAACAACTTCTGCAATTTTTAGAGAAAATAATCAGTTTTAAAATTTCAAAAAGCACTAATTTGTAGAATGCTTTTGTTCTTTTTTTATTTTAATCTTTTTTTCCTCTATTGATTCGAGAGAGAGAGGAAGGGAGAGGGAGAGAGAGACAGAAACATCTATGAGAGAGTACACTGATTGGCTGCCTCCTGCATGAGCCCCCTCCCCCTGCACAACCTGGGCACGTGCCCTGACCAGGAATCAAATCAGCAACCTCCTGGTCCATGGGCCGATGCTCAGCCACTGAGCCACACCGGCAAGGCAGAATGCTTTTTTTCTTAAGCCATTTTATAAAAATAGAATTTTCGAGAGTTCACGAACAAAGAAATCCACAGACCTTTCTGCCTCTTACCTTGCCTGGATCCTGGATGCTTAAGGAGAAGTCATGACACAGTCATTGTAGGAACTCATGGGAAAGAACAACTTGTAGAGAAAAATGACCCTCAGTTTCTTATAAAAATTGATTAGGGAGACTCTGAACTTTAAACTTAAAAATATCTATCTAACTATCTCAGAATTATTCCCAAGCTCAAAAATAAATAGGTTTTGCTTCTTTTAGGTTGTTTCTGGTCAAAAGGACAACCCAAAGCCAGCGAGCAACAGAAAACCATTAGAGGACTAATCTCTCAAATTATTTGAACATGGACAGTATATAATTTAATCCTCATAATAAACTTGTAAAGACAGGGCAGGAGTTATAACTCCATCTCAAAATGGTCAGAACAAGGTGGACTGACTTGCCTGAGGCCACAGAGTAGCCAAGTAAGAGCTAGAACCTAGGTCTTCTGACTCAGAGCCTGACATGCTATCATCTATAACAGACCATTTAGTTCCCATATAAATGACTAACCTTCCAAACTGGAACATCAACTTTCTCAGGAAAGGGCTTGTGTATACTTCTTGTCTTCCCTTATACCCCACGTGCCTAGCACAGGGCTCAGCAAAATAAAAACATGATTGCTCTTTAAAATCAGCTCTTGATTACCAGATGTATAGATGCTATAGCACATCTCACAATAAATACATAGTGCATTTTTGGCATCACCTGAGTGGCAAGCTCAGACAACTCTGGATATTTCTTCTAGGTGTCATCTTGTTACCAATTGCTGTTTTTCCAAGCTACTCAATGATCAAGTCACTGGTTGGATCTAGTTCCTCCTTTCCTGTGATAGATGTGCACAGCTTGAGAAGAACAGCAAGTAGATCATATCCATTTGGGGTTACTTACAAGTGGGAGAGCCCTTAGTTCAACTGGTTAGTTGGTGAGGGTTTACAGCCCTTTCATCCCTCCCTTCAGTACTTCTGAAGGCCTGTACATAGGACATGCTAAGCTGAAACACATAAACAAAACCCCCACTGTCTTCTCAAACAGAGGTTGAAAGTAGCCCTAGACATCTCCACAATTGTGAACTTCCCAAGAGCAATAACCATGCCTCCAATAGTGTAAATCTTACGGCTCCTGGCACAAAGCAGTTACTCAATAAATACAGAATAAATGAACCCCTCCAAATTCATTTGAAGAAGATATAACTTTCCCAGTGTCACACAAAGCATATTTGTATATAAATAAATTGATTCTTAACTCTGGCTTAACATATGTTCCTTTTTCTAAATAGGGTTAACATTTAAATGTTTTATTAAAGTATAGCTAGCATACAGTATTATATTAGTTTCAAGTGTATAAAATAATGATTTTATATGTATATACTTTATGATGTGATTACCGCACTAAGTTGTAGTAACCACCTATCTGGTACCATGCCAAGTTATTACAATATTATTGACTATATTCCTTGTGCTGTATACTATATATTTATAGCTTATTCATTTAACTGGAATTTTGTACCTCTTATTCCCCATTTACCTTTTTCACCCACACCCACACCCTCCTATCTGGCAACCAAGAGTTTGTTTTCTGTATCTATGGATCTATTCTTGTTTTGGTCCATCAATAGATGAATGGATAAAGAAGATGTTGTGTATGTATACACAATGAAATATTACTTAGAAATAAAAAAGAATGAAATCTTGCCATTTGTAACAATATAACAATATGAATGAACTTAGAGGGTATTATGCTAAGTGGAATAAGTCAGAGAGAGACAAATACCATAATTTCACTTATATGTGGAATTTGGAAAATAATTCAAATAATGTTAGCATTTTTAAAAAGGTACGTTCCTTATTTTATTCAAAATAATGATTTAATGGTAGAAATTGTGGCTGGCTTAAGAAAGGTAATAAATTGGCAGTTGTCTCCCCTAGGTAGGACTGGCTGTAATTGGAGGTCCCCTATGAAAGTGTTGCTAATGATCATTTAGTGAGACTGTGCATTGTCCTTCAGAGATAGGGATCCCTGGAGGTTGGGTCATCTACTGCTGTCCATCATTTTGGCAGCCCTTTTGTTTTGACAACTGTTTCAATGTATTTTATGAGTGATTTCTCAGTGTTGCTATCTGGGTTCGGTTAGGAGGTGTGTCTCTAGTTCCCTGATAATTGGAGCAGGGAGGGTATTTATCCCTGGGACTTAATTGGCACTGTAAACCATGCCCTGGCTCATTCAATGTCCTAAGTTGCCTCAAGAAAGGGCAAAAAAATTATTCATACCTAACACATTAACTGTGAGAATGCCTTGATTGTTGCCATCAAAATCTGGGGGATTGTTAACATCGCAGGTGTAGGTACCACTATCTTCTGGTTGCATATGGAAAATAGTGATGGATGCGTTATCTGGCTCGTTGGACACTTCAATTCGATCTTTAAATCTCCCAATGGATGCAGCTTGTCCACCTTCAGAATAGTAAATCTAGGACAGAAAAATGAGAGAAATGAGAACTGGAGAGTGTCTGGGGCGAAGATAAACTACCTGGGGGCTCCCTCTATCTAAAGTTACCTTCTTTGATTAGCAGCATATTTCCCCCCAGCAGGAACAGGTCCCTGTGGCAAAGGTTTTGCAACTCAGTGGAGCACTTTAGCTTTCTCACAGCTGTGCACAGCCATTACCTCACTTGTGCTTAAAGCAGCTTTGTAATATCATCAGAGACATATGCCTGTCTTACAGTAGACAGCTGAAGCTGACAGGATTCAACTCTTAAGCTTAGGTTAGAAGATCAAAGTGCTCACCTGATGAGTCTACTTGGATGAAATTCATACAGGATACAGATGCCTGATGGGAAATCCAAAACCATTATTTTCCCCTCCCACTTTATAATGTTTTAAATTTGAATTTATTTATTCAGTGGGACTGTCTGGACTATCTGGTTTCCCTGAAAGTTAGAATATTCATGCTTCTTTCATACACACATACTCCTTTGGTTAAGCAAACTTGATTTCACCCTGTGAGATTAACATTTCAGAGCAGACAGACCCCTGATAAATCATCTGGTACCATTTCCTCATAATGGTGGTGTAAGAGTAGAACAAAATAATCCAGAAAAGGGCCTAGAAAGTGTGGCAGGAAGCAGAACTGGAATTATTATTTCAATAAGGGTATTCAAACCAAGAAAGATTAAATGACTTATGCAAAGCCACAAGGACTTTTATTGTTATTATTCAGTACACTTAAGAAAGATCTAAAATCTAGTCCCATCTTTATTTAAGAACATGGATATTTATATCACAATGACAACTGTGGGAACAGCATGGTGAGGTACAGGCCTGGTCTCTGAGTCAGAGGACCTGGGTTTTAGCCACAGATCCACCTCTGTGACAATGTCAGGGGACGTGGCCTCTGGTCATGCCTCCACGGCAACCTCCTTTGTGGTAAGAAGCAAAATTATTTAATCTTTCCAACATTTAGTTTCCACATCTGAATAAAGAATCAGAACAATGTTCTCTTAAGTACGATATGTATTCCGCGAGTACAGGCACATAAGTTGATTTAGGTGGTACATAAATGAAAACTTATTAGAAAGAGATATATCTAGCACATAAAATTTGTGACATCAGGAATATTATTGCTTAGGGTGAAACTAAGATAGATAGAGATTCCAAAATGGCAGCAGAGTGAATGGAAGCTACACAGACAATTTCCCAGGACCAAACTGGAATTACAATGAAAATAAAGACAAATCGTCAGGAAAAAGTAACAGAAAAGCAGCTTGCGAGGACCATATAACCAGGAACACCAAATTGATCCTGGCAGGATTGTGGAGGTGCAAGAGAAGGGCTGGGAGCCCATGGATATCAGTGTTCTTAGCTGTGAGCAGCAACCTTGGGGTTAAACTCCCAAGGGGCTCCACAGCACAGAGAACCGGGACAGAGCAAGAAAATAGTCACAGCCACTCACTTTGGGCTCCGGCAGAGGGAGGAAAGACTGGGCTGGAACTGTGTGGGGACACTCAGGATTTGGAGGGTGCTCAGAGCTTTTGCAGAGTTTCAGCCACACAGGTTGGTGGTCATCTTACTTCTTCCCAGGGCTCTGGGAAGAGGCAGTGGCCACTTCCTTAGAGATTCAACCCCACCTGATGGGCCAATGACATGCAAACTGAGGCTCATTAACAACCAGTATCTACCCCACCCTCGGAAAATCCCCTTACACTGAACACCTGAGGTAGTTTTTCATTAAACCAAAAACCCAAGGCTCTTCAAGTAACCGTGACTAATAGCCTCCATGCAAAAATCTAGAGGATAACTGAACTTTCCTGGGCTTGCAGCTCCACCAAGGAAAGTAAGACTTGACAGTGGTGTTCAACATGGGTCCTCCCTCACTCATCCAAACTCAGGAGAGGGAGCCACAAACAACAGAACACCAACACCCACAGGGAAAATTTGGCAGGCTCCAAAACCCACTGTGATAGCCAAAATGGTGAAACAAAGAAACAAATACCAAATGAAAAACCAAGAGACCTCTACCAAAGATGAGATAAATGAAACCCAGATAAGCAAGTTAACAGAGCTAGATTCAGAGCCATGATCTTGAGGAAGTTCAACAACATGAGTAAGAATATCAACACCATGAGTAAAGACATAGAAACATTAAAAATCAACAAATTGGAAATTAAAAAATACCAAGAAGAAATGAAGAATGACATAGCAGAAATAAAGAACACATTGGAAGGTTTAAACAGCAGAGTAGAGGAAGCTGAGGATCGGATCAGTGAATTAGAAGACAGGGTAGAAAAAATCAAGCAAGCAGAAAACCAAAAGGAAAAAACAATTAAAAAACAGGAAGACAGCTTAAGAGAATTGTGGGACAACAGGAAATGTAATAATATTTGCATCATAAGAATCATCGAAGAAGAAGAAAATGAGCAAGTGTTAGAGAATATATTTGAAGAAATAGTGACAGAAAACTTCCCTAATTTGGTGAAGGAAGGAGTCATTCAAGCTCAAGAAGCACAGAGAGCCCCATAAGAAGAACCTAAACAGGGCCACACCAAGACACATAGTAATTAAAACACCAAAAATTAAAGACAAAAAAAGAATCCTAAAGGCAGCAAGAAATAAGCAACAGGTTACCTACAAAGGAACCCCCATAAGGCTCTCAGCTGACTTCTCAACAGAAACACTACAGGCCAGAAGAGAATGGCGTGAAGTAATCAAGGTTATGAAAAACAAGAATCTGAATCCAAGACTACTTTACCCAGCAAGGCTATCATTCAAAATAGAAGGTCAAATAAAGACCTTCCCAGACAAAAAAAGGCTAAGGGAATACATTAGAACTAAACAAGCACGACAAGAAATTGTAAAAGGACTGCTGTAATTAATAGAATAAATAGAAAGAAAAACAGAACCACACTAAACAAAAATGGCAATAAATAAGTACATATCAATAATCACCTTAAATGTAAATGGATTGAATGCTTTGATAAAAAGACACAGAGTAGCTGATTGGATACAAAAGCATGACTCATTTATATGTTGTTTACAAGATATCCACCTCACAACATAAGACTCATAAAGGTTGAAAGTGAAGGGATGGAAAAATATCTTCCAAGCAAACAGAAAAGAAAAAAAAAAAAAAACTGGGATAGCAATACTCATATTTGATAAAATAGATTTCAAAATAAAGGCCATAACTAGAGACAAAGAAGGCCACTACATAATATTGAAAGGATCTATCCAGCAGGAAGATATAAGCTTGGTAAACATATATGCACCCAATATAGGAGCACCAAAATATATTTAAAATCTTCTGGAGGACTTCAAAGGAGAAATCAATAGCAATACAATCATAGCAGGGGACTTCAACACCCCGCTGACATCACTGGATAGATCCTCTAGACAAATAATTAGCAAGAAAAAACAAACAAACAAACAGAGACTCTAAATAAAGCACTAGACCAAATGGATTTAATAGATATCTAAAGAGAATTACACCCCAAAACTGCAGAATTCACATTCTTCTCAAGTGCACATGGGACATTCTCAAACATACACCACATGTTAGGAAACAAACTGAGTGTCCACAAGTTCAAGAAGATTGATATGATATCAAGCATCTTCTCAGATCACAATGTCATGAAACTAGAAATCAATTGCAACAAGAACATGCTAAGACATTTGAACACATTGAGGCTAAATAGCATGTTATTAAACAATGAATGGGTCAAGGAAGAAATTAAAAATTTCCTGGAGACCAATGAAAATGAACACACGACAATACAAAATCTATGGGATGCAGCAAAAGTAGTTCTGACAGTGAACTACTACGGGCCTACCTCAAGAAGCAAGATGAATTTCTAATAGACTATCTAACCTCACAACTTAAAGAACTAGAAAGCAAACAAAAAGGAAACCCCAGAGCAAGTAGAAGGAAGGAAATAGTAAAGATCAGAGCGGAAATAAATGACATGGAGACCAAAAACAAAAAATTCAAAGAATCAATGAAACAAAGAGCTGTTTTTTTTTTGTTGTTGTTGTTGTTTTTTAAAGATAAACAAGATTGCTGGATCCTCAGCGAGACTTGCAAAGAAACAAAGAGAGAGAACCCAAATACACAAAATCAGAATAAAATAGGAGAAGTGACAACTGACACCATAGAAATACAAAGGATTGTTAACAAATACTACGAACAATTATATGGCAATAAATTCGACAATCTAAGCGAAATGGTTAAATTTCTAGAAATGCATAGTCTCTCAAAACTGGACCAGAAAGAGATTTAACATTTGAACAGACCAGTAACAACTAAGAAAATTGAAGAGGTAATCAAGACTCTCCCAGCAAACAAAAGCCCAGGCCCAGGGGCTTCACAGGGCGGTTTACCAAACATTCAAAGAAGAACTAACACCCATTCTCCTCAAACTATTTTAAAATATTCAAGAAGAAGGAAGACTTCCAAACTCATTTTATGAAGACAGCATAATTCTAATTCCAAAACTAGAAAAAGATACTACAAAGAAAGAAAACTACAGGCCAATATTCCTGATGAACATAGATGCCAAAATCATGAACAAAATACTAGCAAATAGAATCCAGCAATACATCAAAAAATATATTCACCATGACCAAGTGGGATTCATCCCACAGATGCAAGACTGGTACAATATTCGCAAATCAATAAATGTGATACACCACATAAACAAAATGAAGACTAAAAACCACCTGATCATATCAGTACATGCTGGAAAAGCATTCAACAAAGTCCAGCATCCATTTCTGATAAAAACGCTCTGCAATGTGGGAATAGAAGGATCATATCTCAACATAATAAAGGCCATATATGAAAAACCTACAATCAACATCATACTCAATGGGCAGAAACTAAAAGCATTTTTCTTTAGAACAGGAACAAGAAAGGGATGCCTCTATCACCACTCTTATTTAACATAGTAGTGGAAGTCTTAGCCACTGCAATCAGAG